ATCTTAAATCATTTGGCGTGCAAAGCCCTGAGCACAGTATCTGCCACATACGAAGGGCTCAACGAATTGTCACTACAATGAGGAGGGTGGAAATGATCTTATTCCCCCTTCATCACCACCGTTTTTACTCCCAGAACACAGTTTCGCTTCTTTTCCTTTTGGTCTGCTGGCTGTGTGGGCTTCCTATTGGCAAGAATGGGGTGGGGGTCAGGGATACAGTGACAGGCAAGCCATACTACCCAGTGCCCGCCAGACAGCATGGGAGCTTCGGCCACACCACCAACGTCCCCAGCCTGTCCACTGAATGTGATTGGAATCAACTGCATGGTAGAGCGGGAATAAGCTGGAGTCAGACTGACCTAGTTTAAATTCCGTCGCTAGAACTGTGTGACCCATAAAAGGTCACTGTATCTCTCCAGGCTTCTGTTTTTCCGTCTATAAAACCAAAACAATAATGGTCCCTGTTTCTCCAAGGAAAGTTGTGGGGATTAAATGAGGAAAAAAAGAGAAACCTAGTATTAATATTGTGATTAATATGTTCCAGGCATTGGTCTAAGCACTTTGCAAACTATTAGTCTAATTAACCTTCACAACAAGCCTTGGTGGAAGGTATTATTATTCTTCCCACTTAAAAGATAAAGGAAATGTGGCTGGGCATGGTGACTCACACCTGTAATCTCAGCACTTTGGGAGGCCCAGGTGGGCAGATCACCTGAGGTCAGGAGTTCGAGACCAGCCTGGCCCACATGGTGAAACCCCGTCTCCACCAAAAATAGAAAAATTAGCCAGGTGTGATGGTGGACGCCTGTAATTCCAGCTACTAGGGAGGCTGAGGCAGGAGAATCGCTTGAACCTAGGAGGCAGAGATTGCAGTGAGCCGAGATCACACCATTGCACTCCAGCCTGGCAACAAGAGCAAAACTCCGTCTCAAAAAAAAAAAAAAAAAAAAAGATGAAGGAATTGAGGTTAGTGTGCCCTGAAGTAGAACCCAGCAGTTATGGTACATCCTGTGATATCTGAAAAGCAAGGCAAGAGGCAACTACTGGGGGCCCTGATGGTGCCTCCTCCCCTTTACCTTTTCATATCTAGAAGCCTCTACAGACAGCTCTACATTGCTGGGTGCAGACCTACCACAAAAAGCAAGCTCTCTCCTTCTCTTTTGAGATGAAGTCTCGCTTTGTCGCCCAGGCTGGAGTGCAATGGCGCGGTCTTGGCTCACTGCAACCTCCGCCTCCCAAGTTCAAGCAATTCTCCTGCCTCAGCCTCCTGAATAGCTGGGACTACAGGTGCATGCCACCACACCCGGCTAATTTTTGTATTTTTTAAAGTAGAGATAGGGTTTCATTATGTTGCAGGCTGGTCTTGAACTCCTGACTTCAAGTGATCCGCTCGCCTCAGCCTCCCAAAGTCCTGGGATTACAGGAGTGAGCTACCTAACCTGGCCCTCCCCGTTTTTTGTTTTTTGTTTTTTTTTTTGAGACAAAGTCTTGGTCTGTCACCTAGGCTGGATTTCTGTGGTGCAATCTTGGCTCACTGCAACCTCTGCCTCCTGGGTTCAAGTGATTCTCCTGCCTCAGCCTCCTGAGTAGCCGGGACTACAGGCACCCACCACTACACCCAGCTAATTTTTGTATTTTTAGTAGAGACAGGGTTTCACCATATTGGCCAGGCTGTTCTCAAACTTATGACCTTATGATCTGCCCGCCTCAGCCTCCCAAAGTGCTGAGATTACAGGCGTGAGCCACTGCGCCCAGCCAGCCCTTCTCTTTAAAGGGAATAGGAGCAGCCTGAAGGACCCCAGCAACTGCTTTGGGGTCTGAGAGAAGCAGATGTAGCAGTTGTTGAAAATCAGGAGGCACTTAAGTAAGGTGAGATCCCAGCTCCACATGATGTTCTTTTGCAAAAGCCTTGCAGGGTCTCCTCATTCCGCTCACACATGCAGACCTCTGTATGACCTTAGTGAGTAGCTGGGAAGCAGCTGTTACCTGCTGTTCTGGAAGCAGGCAGGATCCCACAGGTGACAGTATGAGCAAGGGTAAAAGATCCTGGCCAGAGCACAAGAGATGTGGGGTCTGAGACTGCTGTGGCAAGACAGAGCATAGCTGGTCATGGGAATGCTTCCCTTTGACGCAGTATTCTGTCTCTAGGGATTTATCACACAGATAATCTTGCAAAAGCACATAAAGACTTCGGGAGAAGGTTATTTGCTGCAGCATGGATTATGATTAGCAGAAGACTGGGACAAAAAAAGACCAAGTGGCCAATAGGAGGTGATTTAATTAAACAAATTATGATGCACTTGAACAATGGAATGCTCTGTGCTCTTACTAGAAATGAGGTCCATGTAGATGTGCTGAAACAGGCTGATATATGAGACAAGTTGTTAGTGAAAAATGCAAGGTAAGAACAGTGTGTCTGGCATACTCACATTTGTGGGGGGTGCTAAAAAGAGGTGTTTGTGTGTATTTATGAAGTCATCTTTTGCTATCTAAACCTATTTGGTTTCTGAATTCAGATATCTAGGGTTCAGAAAGCAAGGAATGCTACCTTACTGGAATCTTTGACTCCTACATTTCATTTCAGATAGCAAACAGCAAGAATTAGATAGCAAATAGTTCATCCAAGAGGTGGTCTGAATCCATTTAATTTTCTGCGTTGGAATAGTGTTTGGACAACTAGAGTAGACGGTAGAGATACCGTCACTCGGGTATATGTATAATTACACACCTATGAGTAGATGTATATGTATAATTCTCACACCTATGTACATGTGGAATCCTGGGAAGACACACAAGAAATTGATTAGTAATGATTGTTGCAACAGGGAGTAAGTCAGCCCTGAGGGGACAAGGTGAAAGGCAAACTTATGTTCTCAGTTTTCATATATGTTGTGGTAGATTTTTTTTTTTTTTTTTTTTTTTCCAGATGGAGCCTTGCTCTTATTGTCCAGGCTGAATTGCAATGGCATAATTTCGGCTTGTTGCAATCTCTGCCCCCTGGCTTCAAGCGATTCTTCTACCTCAGCCTCCCAAATAGCTGGGATTACAGGCGCCTGCCACCACGCCCAGCTAATTTTTGTATTTTTAGTAGAGATGGGGTTTCACCATGTTTGCCAGGTTGGTCTTGAACTCCTGACCTCAGGTGATCCGCCCACCTTGGCCTCCCAAAGTGTTGGGATTACAGGCGTAAGCCACGGTGCCCGGCCGTTGTGATGGTTTTAAAACATGGTCCTACATTTCATTTTTTCTTTTTGTTTTTTGAGACGGAGTCTCGCTCTGTCGCCCAGGCTGGGTGCTGGAGTGCAGTGGCGCGATCTCGGCTCACTGCAAGCTCCGCCTCCCGGGTTCATGCCATTCTCCTGCCTCACCCTCCTGAGTAGCTGGGACTACAGGTGCCCGCCACCATGCCCAGATAATTTTTTTTTTTGTATTTTTTTAGTAGAGACGGGGTTTCACTGTGTTGCCAGGATGGTCTCGATTTCCTGACCTCATGATCTGCCCGCCTCGGCCTCCCAGAATGCTGGGATTACAGGTGTGAGCCACTGCCCCCAGCCTGCATGGTCCCAGACTTCTTTGAGAGGTGAGGTCTATGTCTTTGCCCATTGAATCTGAGTGAATTTGCAATTGGTATAGGCCAATAAGGAATGGCTGGGGTGACACTTTATGACTTTTTTTTTTTTTTGAGACGGAGTCTTGCTCTGTTGCCCAGGCTAGAGTGCAGTGGTATAATCTCGGCTCACTGCAACCTCCGCCTTCCAGGTTCAAGCGATTCTCCTGCCTCAGCCTCCTGAGTAGATGGTATTACAGGCACCTGCCACTGTGCCTGGCTGATTTTTGTATTTTTAGTAGAGATGGAGTTTCACCATCTTGGCAAGGCTGGTCTTGAACTCCTGACCTCGTGGTCCACCTGCCTTGGCCTCCCAAAGTGCTGGGATTACAGGCGTGAGCCACCGCGCCCAGCCCATTTCACAGCTTTTAATGCTAGGTCATGAAAGGGTCATGCAATTACTTTGCGTTCTCTTGGATTGCTTGCTCTTGGCATGCTCTCTCTCTGATCCTCACCACCATGCCGGGAGAAGCCCAAGCCAGATGCAGCAGCCCACAGAGACACTGCAGTTCACATTTCCATCTCAGCTCCCCACTCATGGCTAATATCATATGCCAGCCATGTGAGTGTGCATCTTGAAAGTTAAATCCCAGGCCAGGGGCGGTGGCTCACGCCTGTAATCCCGGCACTTTGGGAGGCTGAGGCAGGTGGATCACGAGGTCAGGAGTTCAAGACCAGCCTGGCCAAGATGGTGAAACCCCGTCTCTACACTAGCCTGGGCAACATAGCGAGACCCCGTCTCTACAAAAAGTGGAAACTGCTCCAGGGCTGCCATTCATGAGTCCTCACTCAAGTCCTTGCCCACTGTAAACCTGAGTTTCCTCAGTGAGCACTTGGGAATACATGAGCGGTAGAAAACTCAAAGCCACAGGGGCCTGGTCGGTAACACAAAAGGGTGAAGTGGGCACAGTTGGCTCTGTCTGGAGCAGTTTCAACTTAGCTCAGGGAAAGGCCAGCCCAGAGTTGCCAGATTTTGAATTTTTTTCTTTTTTCTTTTTTTTTTTTTTTTTGAGACAGAGTCTCATTCTGTCACCCAGGCTAGAGTACAGTGGCGTGATCTTGGCTCACTGCAGCCTCAACCTCCTGGGCTCAAGCGATCTTCCCACCTTAGCTTCCTGACTAGCTGGGACTACAGACACGCACCACCACACCTAGCTAAAGTGTTTCCATTTTTTGTAGAGACGGGGTCTCGCTATGTTGCCCAGGCTAGTGTCAAACTACTGGGTTTAAGAAGTTCACCTGCTTCAACCTCTCAAAGTGCTGGGATTACAAGCAAGAGCCACTGTCCCTGTCCAGATCTTTGGAATTTTTAAGAGAAACCAGAAATCAGATTGTTATGTGCAATCTATCTATTTCTGTTTAAATGTTGGCAACTAATTCTTTTTTTTTTTTCTTTTTTTTTTTTTAACTGTGCAGACTGAGAAGCAAAACAAAAGCAAAGGGCTGCCGATTTGTCTCTCTGGACTAGCAGATCTCTAAGGAGTCTTCGGCTCAGACATCTTGACTTTCAGCAGAGTCTCTGGGGAGACAACATACATTCTACTCCCAAGAGGTGGACATGGGAGAAAGGAGAGGGCAGTGGGGAAGATGGAGGTACCCAGCCTCCCCTCACCATGCCCCTCCAGAGGTATTTGGGGAATAGGGGTTACTGGGAAGCCAGGTCACAGGGAGCTCGAGAGGTGCGGGAAGGCAGCTGGGCCTGAGATAAATCAGCCGCCACAACCTGCCCGCTTTCCCAGAGTCAGTCTGCTCCCTGGGGTGCGGGGAGCTGGCAGGGCACCAGGGGAGGCTGAATTTCCTTTGCAATGGGAACCTCCCCACCTCCGCCACCCACACCAGCCATTTTCTCCACCTCTCCTTTCTCACTGCTCTTCCAATGGAAACCCTGCCCTCCCTTCCTCCCCCATTCGACCCTTAACTGAGCGGGGATTGATCCAGACCTTGCCTGTCTTTCCGGACCTCCCCTCCCTCCCCCTCAGTGGCTTCGATTCCCTCCTGAGCCTGCAGCCCATTCTGTCTTCAGCAGACTTGTCTTCCTCTGTGATCCAGCCTGGCAGAGAGCAGCCGCGTGATTGATGAGCTAAGACGCTCGGCTGGCAGGCGAGTGGCCGCCAGCCAGAGACAAGGCTCTCACAAGACAGCAGAGCCACCCCGGGGAGAGCCCGCAGCTACCAGGATGCGATGCTCCCTGGGGTTGCCCCCTTAGCCCCCCCATGCCTGGGTTGGTGGTGGCAGCACTCTGGGCAGAGCAGGTAGCCACAAGGGTCACTGGTTCAGTACCTGGTGCATGGTGGTCCCTCAATGAATGAGTGCTCTCTTCTTTCCCCACTCCAAAACAGAGGCCCAAGTAGATGAACACAGTGAACTTCTTAAAGCTGGAAATGTCTGTCATTCAGTCATGCCACTCAGTCCAGGTGTTTATAATTTGCCCATTCATTCATTCATTCATTCATGCATGCAACATGAAGGTTTGCTTGTGGAGGATCAGCGCGCCATTGTCACTGTGAGTGTGGTCTTGGGAGGCAGGCTGCTTTGAATCCAGGCTCCATTCCTTCCTAGCTGCGTGACCTTGGGCAGGTCTCTTCACCTGCCTAAGCTGCAGCTTCTCTCAAGGTTGCCACTGCAAGTTTCAGCCAGATAATACATGTAAACTGCTTAGAACAGAGCGTAGCATAGAAAAGAGATCAACAAATTCATTCATTCAACGACTGATAGCTGAAGGCCTACATTGGGCCAGGTTCTGGGGACACAGTCACGAACAAGACTGGTAAGGTCTCTGATCTCAAGCACTTCGTCTTTGATACAGGAAAGACTGACAGACACATAACTGAATGAAAAAACAAGGACATCCTGGGGCGAGCTAAGAGGCTGTTAAATGGGGAGGGGTGAAGGGGAGGGGCAGTAGTCATGAAGGCCCCTGCAGGGAGGGGACTTGGGAGCTGAGTTTCGAGGAGGAAGGGGCTGTCAGGTGAAAACCTGGGGAAGCAGCATTCTAGCTAGAGGGAACAGCACATGTTCCTGGAGGCAGGAATAAACCTTGGAATATGCAAGAATCAGAAAAAGAAAAGAGAGACCAGTGTGGAGGAGCAAAAGGAAGGGGAGTGTATAGAAGATGAGCTTGGAGACACGGACAAGCCAGATCAGCTAGGGCTTGCAGGCTGGCATAAAGGTTTTATTTTAAGCACACTGGGAAGTAACTGTGCTTTTGTTTTTGTTTGCTTTTCAGTCTGCATAGCTGAAAAAAAAAAAAAAAGAATTAATTGCCAACATTTTAAGCACGGGAGCAGTCTGACGGGGAAAATAGGAGAGAGAGCAGCTACCATAGTGGCTTGGGCTCCAGTGGTGACCGCGGCAGATTTAGGAGGGTTTGAGAGGCATAGGGACAGGTCTTTTCCTGGGTACCTGGGAGGAGGGCGATCACAGTCAAGGTGTCCCTTCTGTTATCTCACTTGAGCCTCCTGATGAATGCTGGTAGAGGCCGTGTACTGAGCCGGGGAAGCCTGGAGACTGTTTGGCAGCCTTTGTGGATAATGGCGATTTTGCTTTATGCAGTAAGTTAAGAATAGAGGGTACAATACTTCCGGGAGGTGATCTCTGTCCTCAAGAATCTGAGGTTTAGTTGGGGAGTCAGAGAAATGAGCAGGCAATGACAATCCAGTGTGACAGCTGCTGTGATAGGGAGGGAAAGGGGGCTCAGTGTCCAGGGGAAGTACCTACCTGAACATGGGAGTGCTGGCTTCCTGCTCTTGCCTCTTCTCTGGCCTCCCCTGATCCAGCCACACTAGTCTTTCCTTTCTTCTTCTTCTTCTTGGCCAGACTGGAGTGCAATGGTGCGATCTTGGCTCGCTGCAACCTCCACCTCCCGGGTTCAAGCTATTCTCAAGCTATTCTCCTGCCTCAGCCTCCCAAGTAGCTGGGATTACAGGCATGTGTCACCATGCCTGACTAATTTTGTATTTTTAGTAGAGATGGGGTTTCTCCATGTTGGTCAGGCTGGTCTCGAACTCCTGACCTCAGGTGATCCACCCACCTCGGCCTCCCAAAGTGCTGGGATTACAGGCGTGAGCCACTGTGCTCAGCGACCTCCTTGTCTTAAATGATATTATTTAATTGATTGTCTCCTCCCATAAAAATTTGTAAATGGCTCAGTGATGTGCACCTGTAGTCCCAGCTACTCAGGGGTCTGAGGCAGGAGACTCTCATGAGCCCAGGAGTTCAAGTCTAGCCTGAGCAACATAGCAAGACCCTCTTATTTATTTATTTATTTATTTATGAGACGGAGTTTCACTCTTGTTGCCTAGACTGGAGTGCAGTGGTGCAATCTCGACTCACTGCAACCTTCACCTCCCGGGTTCAAGCGATTCTCCTGACTCAGCCTCCTGAGTAAGCTGGGAATACAGGTGCACGCCACCATGCCCGGCTAATTTTTGTATTTGTAGTGGAGATGGGGTTTCACCATGTTGGCCAGGCTGGTCTCAAACTCCTGACTTCATGATCTGCCCATCTCAGCCTCCCAAAGTGCGGGGATTACAGGTGTGAGCCACTGTGTCCGGTCTGGTTTTTGTTTTTTTAATTTTTGGTTTGTTTTTTTTTTACATTTTTTTCAGACAGAGTCTCCCTCTATTGCCCAGGCTAGAGTGCCATGCATGATCTAGGCTGACTGCAACCTCCACCTCCTGGGTTCAAGTGATTCTCCTGCCTCAGCCTCCTAAGTAGCTGGGATTACAGGTATATGCTACCATGCCCAGCTAATTTTTGTATTTTTAGTAGAGATGGCCATGTTGGCCAGGCTGGTCTCAAACTCCTTACCTGAGGTGATCTGCCTGCCTCGGACTCCCAAAGTGCTGGGATTACAGGTGTGAGCCCCCGTGTCCAGCAGGAGAAGGGGATGGGTGCAGTGGCTCACGCCTGTAATCCCAGCACTTTGGGAGGCCGAGGCAGGCAGAATATGAGGTCAGGAGTTCGAGACCAGTCTGACCAACGTAGTGAAACCCCGTCTCTACTAAAAATACACAAGTTAGAGGCAGGGCGTGGTGGCTCACGACTGTAATCCCAGTACTTTGGGAGGTTGAGACGAGAGGATCACGAGGTCAGGAGTTTGAGACTAGCCTGGCCAACATGGTGAAACCCTATCTCTACTAAAAATACAAATATTAGACGAGCATGGTGGTGGGCGCCTGTAATCCCAGCTACTCAGGAGGCTGAGGCAGGAGAATCTCTTAACACCGGGAGGCAGAGGTTGCAGTGAGCCAAGCCCTTGCCACTGCATTCCAGCCTTGGTAAAAGAGTGAAACTCCATCTCAAAAAAAAAAAAAAAAACAAAAAAAAACATTAGCCAGGCATGATGGCGTGCGCCTGTAGTCCCAGCTACTCAGGAGGCTGAGGTAGGAAAATTGCTTGAACCCAGGAGGCAGAAGTTGCAGTGAAACGAGATCCACCACTGCACTCCAGCCTGGGCGACAGAGCAAGACTCCATCTTAAAAAAAATAAAATAAAATAAAAATAAGAAATAAAACAAAAATCTGCAAGCTCCTAGAAAACAGGGACAGAGCGTATCTCATTCACTCCTAGATCCCAGTCCCACAGCCTGGCACAAGGTAAGTGTTCTCTCCATGTGAATTGAATGAATGAATACATGCATGAATGAATGAATGAAGGTGAGACTTGAAAAATAAATTGAGAGGTAAGACAATGCCAGGCATAGGGAATGGCTTGTACAAGGGCCAGGAGTCAAGAGAAAATGGTATAGTCAGAGAACTGAAAGGACTGAAAGATCTGATACTATCTGTATCTTCTCTGGGCCCTTAGCCAGGCACACAGGGGATCTTCAGGAAGTGCGGAAGCCTTCCTTCTCTTTCCACCTCTGTTTTGTGAATAGAAAAACAGTAGCAGGGCTGGGCACAGTGGCTCACCCCCATAATTCCAGCACTTAGCGAGGCTGAGGTGAGTGGATCGCTTGAGCTCAGGAGCTCAAGATCAGCCTGGGTAATATGGTGAAACCACATCTCTACAAAAACTATAAAAATCAGCCAAGTGTGCTGGTGTGCACCTGTAGTCCCAGCTGCCTGGGAAGCTGAGGTTGGAGTTTTTCTTGAGCCCGGAAGGTTGAGGCTGCAGTGAGCTGTGTTCAAGCCACTGCACTCCAGCCTGGGTGACCAAGTGAGACTCTGTCTCAAAAAAACAAAAAAAAAAAAAAAAAAGGAAAAAGAAAAATAGTAGCAGGATGAGATGGTGCCTGAGAGTTCCTAGGACAGGAACTGCACCTCATTCACCCCTGATCCTCAGTGCCTGGTATGGGCTGGCACATAATAAGTATTCAATAGGTTTTGGAATTGAATGACGCTGAAAAGACATTCAGCTCTCAGGTGCCAAAGCAATGCTATATGATAATTCCAGAATGTCAGCTCCAGCAAGTTCTTCATAGACCAACCTGCCTCGTGTTACAAATGGGGAAACCGAGCCCCAGAGTGGGGAGTGGATTTGTGCAAGGTCACACAGCGAGTCAGAGGGAGAGTTGGGATGGGAGCCCAGATATATCCTGACTGCTGGTTCAGGTGGTCTCCCACTCTGTCCCATCCTCCATCAATCCACCTCCTGTCCCTTTCTGTCCTCTGACTTTCAAGATGTCAGAAACCAGCAGATTGGAGCCAACAGGAAATCCCCGAGTGCCTTTTAGTAGGGTGAAGGCATTAGGTTACAGGGCGGGCAGATGGGGCACCCATTAGTGAACTGACACTGAGTTCCTGTAGGCTCCATGAGTGTCTCCGATGGACCCATTAGCACCCACTGAAAGCCGGAAGCACAGGGACCAGGGACCTCAGAGGGGATGAGTCGCCGAGTAAATCAGCTTTAACGCGGCTGAGGGAGCAGAGTCGGAGAGACAGAGAAAGGGCTTTCCTCTTTCCTTGGAAAGTGGGCTCGAAGGCAGGAAGAGAGTGCCCGGCAGTATCAGGGATGATAAAGACCAGGCACAACTCAGAATCATGGCATTTGGGAC